TCCTCCCCCCCTCTCTCTCCTCCCCCGGTGGAGGCAGATGTCTCCTCTCTGACTCTGGTTCTTGAGGTTTCTCTCTGTTAATGAGGAGTTTCTCCTCCACAGACTCAAAGTGCTGCTCATGGTTCACCTGTTGGTTTCTCTACATGAAGAAGATCTGAAGCTCTTCACCTTCTCTGTGAAGAGTCTGGAGATCATGGATGTTAGGATTTGGTGCCACACAAATAAAACTGAACTGAACTGAACTGAACTGAATTGCTAAGGACAGTAATCACATCTTTGTCGCAGGTTTATACGTCAACCAGTGTAAATTCTATGTGTGTGTGTGTGTATATGTATGTGTGTGTGTATAAACTGTATGTGTGTGTGTAAGCTGCAGCACATCTGGCACTCTGACAAAACCTTTTGGATTCAATTACGTGCCGGGGGGGGGGGGCTCTTTCATTCTATTCCATCTGAAGAACCAAAAGCCCCACCATCCAAAAGCCCCCCCCCCCCATTCATAAAGTTTCTTTGGTAGTTTGACTCTTGTTGAGTTCAGAAGATGTTGCTCCTTGTCAACATTGAGACAAACTGTGATTTGTGAATTTATACAAATAAAATGTGATTGATTATCATCCTGCAGTTCAAATGTTAGAGAACATGTCAGTTAACATGTTAGTGACTTGTGATTTGAAGTTTCCTGCAGCTCAGAGTTTGGTCCAGGTCGGACTCGTGTGTTGTGTTTCATATAATAAGCTTTGTGTTGATGGACGTTTGCCTGCTGCCAATATGAAAAAGATGAGGCCATGTCCTAACCAGAGGGCCCATTGACCCAAGACTGACATTAATTCATCAACACAACATAGTGGAGTTAACATATTATGCTAAGCTACCAGCTAATCAGATAGGGTTAGAGGTTAGCTAACAGCCTTATTTAGCTTCTATGTTACTAACACTCAATCAGGGCACAACTAAAAATATAAAACTTACTGTGGTTCAGAGTTTCTTGTTCACATCTGAAGAAGCAGCAGGACGTAGTCTGGGTCCAACTTGTTCACAACCTTAAAACGTCGGTTCTCACATACACAACATTCAGGAACATGTGTGACAACAGTTCATTCATGAGGAAAAAGACCATTTAAAGTGAACAGCTAACATTAGCATGATTCATTTCGCAGGGTTAAAAAGTTTGTATAGCGCAAAGCTAAAGAAACGCAACAGTTAAACTAACTAGCTGCTCAAAAACAGTAGAAGTTCAACTTCAGATCCATGAGTTCATTTTGAAGAACAAGTGATTGTGAATCAGTTTCTCTGCTTTGGTGCAAATCAAAGTCACAACAGGTTCAATGAGACAAAAGTAAACGAGCCCCAACAGGATAATGTTTGTGGTGTCCACAGACAGCTGCTGTCTCCTGGTCCTCCTGACTCATTCTGTGTTCTGCTCGGGTCCTCGTCACTACAGCATGAGGTGCTACCTGCAGCACCATCAGGGTGCACAGGTAGTCCAGCTCCTCCAGGAGGACACATCCATACCTGTGGTCACAAGAAGGTTTGTGTCTCCCAGCAGTCTCCAGAGCCTGGAGGAGACACCAGGAGAGCTGCACATTAGAAGGCTGTCACTGCCACAGTAAACTACATCAAAACAAGACCTGTCAAAGCCAAGACTTTTCTGCTCTGTGCGAGGAGATGGGATACACTCACACAGCTGTTGTTTCACAGCGAGTCCCGATGGCTGCCCCCTGCTTTTATCCAGGGTGTTTGAACTGCGGGATGAGATCAGAATCTTCTTAAAGTTAGAACGTACTGAACTTTCAAGATGAAAAACTTCCTCCTGAAACTTTACCTCACTGACATGTTCAGAAACTCGTGGGAGCAGAGAATGACACATGGACTGTTTCAAGTAATCATGGAGGTCAACAAGCAGAACAGTGTGTTGAGCTTTCATCTCCAACACATCAGAGCTGTTTCCCAGTTTGAAATAATAAGAAGCTTTCAGAGCAGCACCAGCAGAGGACGAACCGTCACTCATCTCATTTCTGATTCGTCAGTTTGATTCCAAGGAATGAGCACTGGCCACACCCCTTCCTTTAACCACATCCCACCTGTTCAAGTTCCCAGGGAGACAGAAAACTGGACAGACACTTAGCCACTTTCATGCTAACATTAGCATTACTGAGCAGCGTGACTGAGGTTCAACAGGAAATGGAACATGTTTGATGCTACAGATGGTACGGAAGCTAAAGTATCTACAGATGCTAAAGATACTACAGAAGCTAAAGATGCTACAGATGCTACGGAAGCTAAAGATGCTACGGAAGCTAAAGATACTACAGAAGCTAAAGATGCTACAGATGCTACGGAAGCTAAAGATACTACAGAAGCTAAAGATGCTACAGATGCTACGGAAGCTAAAGAT